AATCCAAGATTCTTCGATCTTTTCAAACTGGTCTAAAAATTCAACTGAAGAGGCATGAAATAACCGTTTTTGTCTTCTTTTATGAAGGAAAACAAAAACCCTAGTCAACTTGATCTGTGCTTCCCAAGCGGGTTACCTTGCCTTCTATCTCTTTGTCGGTATTCAGAATCACTCTTCTGCGAGTTCCACCATCAGAAGTAGGCTAGAGACAGACAATACTTGCAATAATTTGCATCTTGGTAAGCTTCTCATTCTTCGGACGGGTAATGACACCGTCTTCTGTGAGCCAGTGTGGTTTGAGGAATTTCACCTGCGCTACCAGAAATAAATCAATCACTCGTCCCCACAAAAGAGCCTGACTGTGCGTGCCTCGCACGACTCGTTTAACGTTTCAAGGAATCGACTCTGTCATCGTCCTGGATCAGGTTAGAAATTCTCCCCACCCATAACTCGATAACTCAGCTCATGTGGTAGTCTTCCCGGTAACTCGTAGCCGTCAATGTTTAGAACCTATGAATCCTCTCTGCGCGTTCCGAAGCGAAACTCTAAGCTATACCCTTCGCTTCATGATGAGGTGCGTGACAGCATGCTATTCATCATGGTGCAGATTCCATATTCCTGCGGCACAGGTTTTATGACGGTGTAGTGCAGGGTCGAGAGAAGCGCGGATTTAATTGCTTTCGGTCTTCACCTTTACTCCGTTCAACATTCATTAGTGCCTCCCATGTCAGTCGCCTGCTTTCTGCTGTGCTCTGCAGCTGTATCTTTCATCATTTTGATTTTTGGCATGAATACTAGTATTGAATTGATTATAGATAGCCTTTCTGCTGCGCTCAATTTAAGTATAATAAAACATTTCTTTTATCATGCGCATGATCTTCGTTAGGTCAAGAACTGAGCGAGCTTCCCACCTTCACACTCGGCCAGCATGCCTCCGTTGCTTGACAGGTGTTGTAAATGTTATAAATTTTAAGTTGTCATTGGAACAAGCCTGTAGCATTCAACTAGACTTCACCCTCATGTAATCTGTTCCTACCTGGGTGATCACGTTTCCGTCACTTGAATCATCGAATGTTACGGTGTCTCTCTATGTGGCTCCTCTCTTTAACCTAACGAAAAACGGAAACATAGACTAAATGTTGGTAAGAATTAGTCTGATTTACCTACCATTGTGGTACAGTAGCTACTAAGCATTCGAGGTGAAAAAATTCTCGGTCTTTTCCACCACTTCCCTTACACGTAAATTCAGAGCATGCTTCGAATTAATTATTGCAGCATCGCTAGCAACATTTAGATTGCGAACGCAAGAGCAAAATTGCAATGCTATAATCCTAAACAAAATCATCTGAACCTTGTGGAAGGCTGACGAGAGTTGCACAAATGTGCTACCATTCGTGGCTACGCTCTGCAAATTTACTTCAGAAAAGGGAGTCAAAAACACAATTGGGCGATGAGCTCGCTGTGTTAATATCACCTATGCAAAATTATTTATATATCTAACCAGTCAGAGAATCGTTTCGCACAGTTGGGAGAGATATGAGACCACTGTATAAAAGCTGTCTTATGACTCATCGCAAGCAGCCCGTCCAGCTTCATACCGAGGTACACCTTCTCGATCACTATACCTTTTCGGATTAGTTTAGAGCTTTTCAAACAAAAACGACAACAAAAATCCAATAATCTCGTTGGAGTCATGCTAGCGCCATTGCATCTTCACGTGATCGGGAGCAGTTCCCAGAGAGGTTATTATGACTATGCTTTTTGTGCAACTACCGTCTAGTGCGGAGCTACTGTTTTTGTGGTTGTTTTATGAGCTACCCTTCGTTGCGATTGGGGTTGGTATCGTCCGTCAGCCTTATATTAAGTTCTGCGATTTGCTATCTGGAACTTTTTTTATATCAGGTAATGAGGCAATACTTCCATATCGTTCTCAGCAATTGCCCTTTTTATTTGGAAAAAATCATTGCTTCAGTAAGAAATAGTCTATTACGTATTCAACACTGCTGTTCACGGTTTTTACAAATATTCCAAACCTTTCGAACTATTTTTTGCTGCCGTTCCGCTAAAAGCTGCCCGATCTGGTATCGAATGAGTTGTTCCAAACCAGTTTCCAAATTCCTTTTCATTCTACAAGGTGAGCCGTCTTAGGGATTCGACATATGAGCTCTTGGAAAGTATTTCCAAGCTTGGAGCCACTTCCCGAGAGCTCGAACAAGTCTCTTATTCGTACGCTTGGAAAGTGGCTATGACGACGACTTGCGCGGTATGGGGCCTAGCATTGTTGTGAAGAAGCATGATTTAACCCTGTCTTTTTCTTTTTCTTATTTTTAGTTGCATAGCTTTTTCCAGGCGATTAGTACGATTATGTAGAGCTCCTAGTGACAGTGACATTCCTTCCAAGCATCTCTTTCTATATCTTACCTTCCCAGTCCACCAAGCGCCAAGCGCAGACATGGTCAAACATGGTCCTCGGCCTTGGCGTAAACCATCTCCGTGGTGTAGGCTCGTATCTGTGACAACTTCTCTCTGAATACGATGCAAACCTCCTGGGCTGACTCAGCAGCTCTCAGACTTCGATGAAATGTGAAGGAGAGCAGGTGTCGAGGACATTGTTTTCTTTCTCCCTGTATACCTTTTCTAAGGCTGAAAATCATAATCCTACTAACTATAAAATAGATGACTAAAAAAGATCAGGGGCACAGTTCTGAAGAGCAGAATGTGCACCATTCATTTTTATTTTCAAACAGCAAGTTGCAGTTGCAGAGACTATTTTCTCTGATCCCAACTTTTTAGGGAGACGGTTCGACTACTGCCTAGACTTTAGTTTCACTCGAATCATATGTGGATGTCCTTTATATTGTCAAGGCAATTTTCTCGAAAAGTACGAAATACATTCTTGCACACTCTCCAGACTATCATTAGAAAAGAGTTGTCGATACAAGATGATATAATGTGTTCCTCTGGAACTTCGTAACATTTTGAATTTGTATCTGCTACACAATGGGCAGGGTTTGTTTTCTACCGTGAGATACGGTTATTCTCTGATTTTCCGCTATATGATCGGGGTAAGAGGAACTTACCCCTGTTCTCCGATACACAAATTGTCCCGACTATTCCTGGAGTTAGCAAACAGGAAGAGCTCAGCATCGATCCTCTATCGCCTAAAGTGTAGATAAGTTCTTTAATGAATTTCTTGAAATATGCATGCAATCGATGTTTCGTAACGTATTTGGGAGGAGATCGCTACTGCCCACGTGAACTGTTCAGCGATCAAGATGACCGTAGCGGGATTGCATGAATTGCAGATGAGTTAACAAGATAGGCTCTTTTTAGCTTTGCGCCTGAGCAGCTCTTTGAGCCTTACCGTTTGCGTTGAGAACATAAGCTGCCCGCAGTTTTTCAGTAATTGCGTCTCCCTCCTTGTCAAAAATGCGGGGACCAGCAACAACCATTCCGACATTTTCAAGCTGTAAAGCGATGAGTTTATGGTAAAGCTAGCCAGGGTTGAGAACGCAAAGGGTCTAGCGCGCAGCTGCCAGAGCAGTAGCTTTGATTCCCATTCACTGGATAGTTTGATACAACTTATCGACCAGTTCAGAAACAAAGGTGAGTGCTTTTTGAGGACCCGGCAGTCTCTCGATATTTTCGCGTTCGACGTTTCCTACGAACTCTGAGGGGAGTTCTCCTAGAATTCTATGGGAGGGATGACGTGTTGACCTGTCCCTTTTACGCATCTTTCACTATTTTCCATGCAAACCAGCAGCTTTTCCACTTCTCTAACGGCTGGGGCGATGACACGTGAGGTTCTGAATGACATATGGCTAGTATTTCCTTGTTTTTTGAGTCTGCTGATCCAATCGATGAGCAACGTCCATCGTTGTACGATTGTATCGAGTTCCACTTTTGAAAGGCCTTTATACACCAGTGATAGTCTTTTGGTTGCTATTCAGATGAGAAGCGTCACGGTGCGCCCGATAATGGGAAGCGAGTGCATTCTTTCTTAGAGTTATCACCTTTATCCAGAATTTTTCTCACAGATACGGAACCGATCCTGTTTTGTGCGCTTAGGCACTGCTACTATTTGCTCGCTCTGTTTGCATGTGATTTACAGCATGACAATCAACTGGATAATTTGCTAATTGAAAAGGAGATAAGGAGACGAGAATGTAGTGGATGGAATTCACCCCTATTTTTTTTGCTAGCGCTAGAGAGCGGAAAATAGGGGATTAGAAGGAACTGAAAAATTTTAACCAAAAGAACCAACTTTGCAAGCCTGTAATAATGCTTACGAACATTTCCTGGTCAGGGAAATATGTTTTTCCTGATAGGGCCTTTGCAGAAAAGCAGCGCTGGAGTGCGTGAGTCAATCGAATGTTGGATTTTTACTCCGTCCCAGCTTTTTGCACTAGGTGCAGGGATCGGAATCGCCGCACCCCCGCTAGTGCTCCCTCCCTTGAGGCGCAGTGGGCACTATATTGCTTTTACTAAGAATCGTCTCTGAGCATAGGTGGAGCTGGCTATCTCTCCCTCTGCTGTCTAGCGCTCGGTGTTGAGAAAGCGGGACCCCTCTCACTTAACTACATTTTCACCTTGGAACTTATCCCTTGTCTCTTCGGCCTTAGTTTTTTTCATGGATACCTCATATGAGCACTTAGGGGGAATTCAAATGTTTTGCATCGATAGACATTCTTCAGTCACCACAACAGTCTTTGACTAGACTGATCTCGTCCTGCACTCTTGGAAGTCATGGACGACTCGAATTTGTTTTGAATTTTTCTCGGAATTGGTGCGTCTTTGACTTCTTCGAAGTTATTTATATCTAGTACTACTGGTTTACTCATCACTGAAAGATTAGGGAATCGCTTTCATAAAAATGCCCGCCCCCTTCAGAATCTCCTTAAAAACTGCTTTGCTTCACCCTAAAAATCTTGTCAACGAGAGGTTTCACCTCATTAACGTCACGTGATATTTGCAGAGAAGAGAATGTAATTCTCGTTTCCATGAACTACCGTGTATCAATGCTTGGATTTCTCTACTTGGCAAAACGCGAAGCACCAGGAAATATGGGTCTCTGGGACCAACATCTGGCTTTGAAATGGGTAGGTTTTTTGATTAGTTCATTACGGCAGAGCGTTTTTGATTGTGTTTTGCTTCCTATTAGGTGTGAGAGCACCATTTCATCACTTTTCCTTCCCAACAAGCTTCGAAAAGATAAAGTTCACATGAGTGATGATTTGATGGAACTCAGTATGCAAATTTGACTTGTGCTCTTATTCACAGAAAAGTCTCACTGGTTCTCATTTTGACTACCATGTGCCATGCGGTCATTCCGTCATAAGTTTTCCGCGCGTTCTCAGCGACGACGAAAAAGCAGTCGTGACACGCGATAAACACATGAAGCTGGAGCTTATGCAGTTTGTCATTTGAAAGTGTCAAAATTTTCAAATTAAATCAAAAACTACTGCAAGCAATCTTAAAGCGGAAGGAATAGAAAAGTCAAGATGAGAAGTGGTCTTGTGGAGGAAGGTCGCACTTGAGAGTAAGCTGCCTCTACATTATGCCTGACCCCGTTCATGGCTTTATGAAGCATGAATCATACACTGTGATGCTTTCGGACTGCAAATTATGCGGAAGCCGCGCATGTGGTTGATTATATTTAAAAATTTTGCAATACATATTGGACACTCTATGATTGCCTTCTTGGTTCATTCGCTTCTGTCTCTGGTCAGTGCCACTGCAAACATGAAACTTCGCAAACTTGTTTTTTCTCTTTCCCTATTTATGCCACAGAAAGGCAGGAGCCACAGCAGTTTCAGTGCCAGCAACACCGCTCCAAGCAACCTGGCACGGACTTGACTAATTGTAAGCATAACCCGGCAATGTCAGTCAGTAGTATTGTGGAGAAAATAAATCATAGAATGAAAAGGAAAAAGTGGATTACGTTGATCAATCTCAGGTCGCTTCTTGCACTCGGCTTCTATTTGGAATCTCAGTGGCTTTCTGGATGCGTATATGACCTATACACCACCGACTTGCGGTACCAGAGGCTCCAGCGTTTCTCCATTCCGAAGATCTTTGTCGGTGTGGGCGAGCATCAATCCGGGCTTTGGTCCCCGTACCATACATATGTCATAGTGCGCCACTTGCCGCTACACCTTTCAAGACCAAACATAGATTATCGATTTCATTTCATAAAGATCGGTCCCACGCGATTGCATGCAAACCAGTAGGAAAGCAAGCGGTCTGAAGACTAAACAGAACGAGAATAAACTAGCCGCGAACATTTGATTGAAAATGCATGATCGATACGTATTTAAGGACATTCAGTATGGCAAGCTCTGACGCTTAAAAAATGTCTCCAATGCTCTATTTATAGTTGGTCGGAGCAGTACTTCAAAGAGGTGAGGGACGATCTCAATTGCGAGTCTGTCTCCCAATGCGATTACGTAGACTTGCTCAACTCTCCAACCCAGAGAGGAGTAAATAATGTCATGAGCTGTCGAACAACCAGACGAAGAGCATACAACTCATAGACGATAAGCTGTGCCATTGATGGCTACCTTCCCCCGGCGTGCAAATTTAGCTTAGGTGGAGGGCTCTGCAGACAGAATGGTGCGAGAGCCTCAGCGATTACATGCTTTTTTCCAGGTAAACGGAATCATTCAAGACCTAGCTGTCGGTCTCGTGGAGTCAGCAAGAGGCGAGGTCTTGGGAGCTTGCATAAAGGTCGCAATGCGCAACGGATGTCCATCAAAAACTAATGAAATTTAAGATCATCTCTTGATGCCATCAATTGAGCCAGGTCAGGGCGTATTTTGGCCTTCTTTGTCGGGTTCAAAAAGTCAGACGTGAAAATGATTTCGCATACTTGTGATCTAGGCAGTATGGTCTGGACCATCGACGCCCTCTCTCGAACCTAAGACAGCAGCGACCCGAAATTCTTCATATGATTGCTATTGCGTTGCCCCACACTGCGACATCTGTTCTAATAAAATAGAGTGATAGCGTGGTTTCGCTTGCGACCTTCCTGGCATTGTCACATGTGATACGTTCTGTGTGGAAGAGTACATAGTGATATTGTATTTTTGTGAGTTTATGATCGGTTCCGAATTTTTGGAACTGAATCGGCATTTTTTCGGTGTTCGTAGACCAAAAATCACTGATAGTCATTTCAGCGTGAAGTTTCTGACCTCTCAAACTGATCATCGATTTGCGATATTTTATCACTTACATCAAACTTGCCACAATTTTCATACTTTTTATTCAGGTTACTGATAATTTCGAAGCATTATGAAGCAAACCTCTCTTGTCCATCACTTGGCTGTACGTGCGGTGTGTGTATGTCCGCGCGTTGGAGGTGATTACTGAAAATTTGTATGTGTAGTTTTGCGAGGGTAGTGTAAGTTTTGAAGTTACAAGAAAGTGCGTGAGAACTATCATGGAGGGAAAGCTCAAAACTTAATGTTATATCGAATACAACACAGACGAATGGAAGCCAACATTGTGACACTAATATAAATACGATCCAAAAAAAGCAGCCAGACTTGGAGTGAACAAAAGACGGTATTACGAAAAACGCGGCGATTGTGTTCCAACTCCCTCTATAGTCCATATTCAAGACAGCGCTATGGTCCCAAATCAAATGAATCAAAGGAAAGAAAAGTGGATGAGGTTACTTCTAAGTGACACAATATATTTCGTGGTGAGACATTCATGGTATAAGATAATCTGCTAGATGATGTACACAAAAAAACTGAATTTTTCATATTCGATAATTTCTCGGGCCATTTTCCTATGAGAAATTCGAAAATAAGGGGCTTCAGGAAATGTTTACTGCATAACCAAAAAGCCCTGATTATACCGGCTTCGCCGAAAAAACTCCGATTGCCCAGCTACGCCGAGCTCTCTTTTACGCGTTGATGTTGTGCCCCCTACATCTCTTTGAATACCAATGCTTCAGTTCAGGAGAAGGGAGTTATGCCAAGGACACAATTCAGCTGATTCACTTTTTACCACCTGAAGTACTCTCAAAGTGAACGCTCCAAATCTCTAAGTCAAGAACATCTGCGCACGCCCTTCCTCCTAAGAGGTATGCAGTCGTACCAGCTAGTACCAGTGTTCCACTTCTGCTGAACTTTTCTCGGCGATTTCTCATAGGAAAATGACCCGAATAACTATCAACTGTGAAAAATTCAGTTTTTTGTGTACATCATCTAGCAAATTATCTTATATCATGAGTGTCTCACCACGAAATATGTCATGCTACTTTGAAGAGACCTCATCCACTTCTCTTTTCTTTAATTTGGAACCATTGCACTGTTCTGAATACGAAATATGAGAAGTAGTTGGAAAGAAATTGCCGCGTTACTCATAACACCGTATTTTGTTCATTCCAAGTCTAGTCTGCTTCCTTTGGATCGTGTTTATATTATTGTCACAATGTTGGTTTGAAAGGAAGTAGAATTTCTTTGACTAAATACATCCAGTCATTCGGGAAAGAAGCCACATAGGCAATATGAACAGCAAACACGATAATGAGCTAATGTTCTGGTATTTGGTGCCACTATGCTCTATTCTTCTTGAGGTGCAATCAAGATGCTCTTTAGGTCTGCTTCCATAATCGACCGCCTATCAAAGCGACCATTACTGACATGTATACGTCCATACCGAAACAGTCGTGCTCGCACGCTAGTAGGCTGAACAAGTACGACGGATGAATTCAGGATTCGAGCTTTCTGTCCGGAAGTTGCCTCACAATTCGAGACGCGTGGAGTTTGTCATTTTCTTACGCAATAATGATCATGTAGTACATGGGAGGAGCCATCCGGTACAATCGACGAGATACTGGTGATGCACTCACCTCAGCGATGATGGTCTTCTTTTTGCAATAAAGCCGCCAACACATCGCGCGTTCCAGTAACTGTAACGCCCGCTCAGAGTCACGTGACTCCACATGAATAACTCTTGGCGCCTTTTCATCTGAATCCTTTCGAACCCGACGCTTGTTACTTTTAGGCATGGCGTCCAAACCCACCTGAGTTTTGTCTATAGCCAATGTCTGTTTTAGAAGAGCTGGATTTCTTCGGTGGCGGAGATGCTGCTTTGCCTCTTGCTGACTTCACGGAACCGATAGTTAGGTCATAAATGGTTCTTGGAAATCCGGAAACTGACGGATCGCGTTGGTACATCGCGACTACTGCTGAACGATCTTAAAGCGAAACCATTATTTACCAAGCGATAGAGAAGGAGACTACTCACAATAGGTTCAAAAAATGAGGGAAAATCAAGTATTCACATAACATAGCATAAGCCCTGGAACCAAATTTTTTACCCGTCGCACTTCATGTGATCCATCCCTAAAGGGAGCAAGACTGCGGATGAAGGGTATTTTCCAAATGATTTTTGGATAGTATTGTCGATTTTGAATATTATTCACATCTTCATTCTTGCCCTACTTACCCGCTTTATCTGCTCCGACTTAGCTTGCCTTTGCTTGTTTTAAGGCTCCTCCTCGAATCGTTCCGGACAGAAGTGCAGGTTTTGATCCTAGTTCCGCCTACTTCGCAGCTCGGCCAACCTATTTATCATGGAAGTTTGTGTTCTCAATTTTTTTATTCCACCCCTTTCTTATTTGAGATGGAGACGCGTACTCAACCTCTTCCAGCGACCCACTCAATAGGTAGAATCTAGTCCCGCCAATTACCACCGGTAATTCTACCCCGTCGCATGTGACTCTTGGAAATATGAAGCACGCCAACAAACCAGCAGGCCTACTTAACGCATTATTTGTAGTAAATGAGATGCACGTATGTATAGGGCACCTCATCTATCTCTGTGCAGTTTGCGAGTCGTCCTGGTTCGTGTTCAGAACAATCCAGATATAAATAAAATTTGAAAAGGAGAGGTAATATGTCAGTAAAGAAGTTTGACTAGATTTCTAATAGAAGGAGATTTCTGGAGCAAACGTAGGCCTACGAGAGGTGGGCTGTGGCGAGCAGTACCCTCGTCTTGTAATTCGAAATGTAAAAGCTGTTATCTGTAATTTGTTCCTTTGAGATTGGAAGGACAGTGAAAAAAGGAAAAGTGAACTCCCCTTCTGAAAGAGTCGATTTGAAGTCAGAAAAAATCAACCTGAAAGCAGAGTTAAAAAATCCCTATAATGTCATACCTCCTTATTCACATGGTAAAAGAAATGGGTAAGGTAAGATGGCGTTGGCAACAAGCTTTACTCCCAGCAGGAATCCGCATCAAGCATGCTTATTTCAGGTACATAAAAACATTGATGTTTTCGGTGGCGATCCCGGTCGAATAACTCTGTTTGGTGAGTCTGCGGGAGCAGCATCAGTTAACATGCATATGTTGAGCGCACGAAGTACACCTTATTTTCAGGTAATTTTGCAAGGTTTGAAAAAATTGAAGTATGACAGTAAGGCTGTCTGCGTGATCGTCACAGTCAGCATAAAAGTGGGTTTCAGATCTGATAATAGAAATCGTGAGGTCACATATCTACCTATATCAATAAGGCATCGCCAACAAGTCGACCAAGAGAAAAAAAAAGAAAGAATGGAGTAACTCTGAGGGAGAAGGTCGTCTTAACGGCTAGAAGGACAAGGCAGTTCAGATACGCAGATAGGGCCAGTTAGAGTTCCAGGCTGCGAACGGCGGGATAAATAGACTTGCTATTTGGCAGAAAAGTAGGTCGAATGGGGCGCGACATCTTCCTTCCCCTTTTCTTTGACTCCATTAGCTAAAATGGGCCGGCGCTTTAGGTCTTGGTGTTCATCGCGCCCACCATAACGACGCAGCAGCCTGAAAGTACATATTTCACAAGGGTTCACAAGTTTTTGTGGTCACTTTTTGCATGCCCTCAACTCTTCTGTATTCATTATTAATTTCTTTAAGTTCAAATTTAATCCATATAACGATATTGTACCCTTTTGTTCTCCCTTACCCTACTGATGAGCACGGAAGAAGATTATTGTCAGGCTTGGCTTCCGTCTAAGGCACGCGCGAAACGGAAGTCAACTACATCTTTGATTTATCCCCCCTTGATTTAAAAAAATTTAAATTGTAAACATTCATAGTATATCATTTGAAATACTAACACTATATAGTAGCTCAAGGAAACCGACAAACTACAGGGTGGTAGTACCTATTACAGGGTTGATAATAATTTTAGTCATTTCACATCAGTTATTTTGTCATTCTTCTTCATTTGATACCTACCCCTAGTGGACCTACCCCTAAGGGCTGCATTATATGACAGTTAAGCTGCCATGTAATTAACTACTTATCATATCGACCCGAGGTCGTCGGACGGTCGGATTCTAATTATATCATTTTGCCTCTTCCCAATTCACAAATATTTTACTACAATAGATTTAGGGTCAATAAAATCTATTTATTACTTTAAATTCAACAAATTTGTTCTCTTCAAGAGTAGACAGTTTTTGTAACCGTTATTCCACTTCCTCCTTTTAACAACTGAGGTAGTTAGAAAACAACAGTCTCTAACTGCGAGTATAATTTATACTATGGCGCACCCACTTCAAAAATCATGCGTACCCACTCCGAGAGTACTTGCCTGTTTACGTGTTCTTACGTTTCCATGGTCCGACTGAACAGTAGACAAATAGTCACCTAATTCATTTATCCAAACATTCACTTCCGTTCACCGGTTTGAAGAATTACAGTTTTGTATCTTTTTTCTTTTTCCCCTCTTTTTTCCTTTCTTTTTTTCTTTTCTTTTCTTTTCTCTATTTCTTTAGGAAGTCTTTACCACAACTTCACACACGAGGCCATACGCCTTTAGCAGTAGTGACTCTTTTTATAGGGTTATAAAAGTGGTAAAGCAGGGGTGGGTACTACGTCCTCGAAAGGGTCAATACAACTCTTCTATCTACTCTTTTTACCACTTACTTCACTAAACGCTTGCAAATGCCTGGGAGAACGCCCTTAAAACTTTTCCTTGATGTGGGTAGGGCCCCTCACATACTTCCCGTACGGCCTCCTAGTATACCGGTTGAACAACATAAACACTATTATTGCAATAAAGTCTGTTATAAAACCAAGGTTAACGAAAGGCTTGTTTTAGACGACTTCGGTTATAACAGTAAATCTACAGTTTGAAACAATAGAAACTGTGGAAAATGTTCCTGATCGATAAAAGTAGTTACATAGTAGCACACGTTACTGTTCTCAAGATTAATACTCACGTAGAAAGTGCAACTAATTGTGGTAGCACTGGCGTTATTTACTGTACCACTTGTAATAAGTCCGGCATGCAGTATGTCGATTTAATAACTAGAATCTTGAAAGGAAGAATTATGGAACGTTTGTGTAATGTCAGCAAAGGTAGTACCAGTAACAGTTTGTTAAACATTTCAGTAAGGACTGCAATAGTAAAAAGTTACTTTTAGTATTTTGGACAGCCTAGGAGAAAACCGGGATAAACACATCCTACAGGATGAAGAAGAATTTGAAGAATTTTGTACATACAAAGATGATTTCTGGATAGGTTAAAGTATTGTATGGGATATCAAATATACCAGACGGATCTTAGTAGAGATGTTTTCATTATAGGTCTTATAAAATGCTCAGCCAAAAATAAATTTATATTTCATAAATACGGCTCAGGATATAATTTACTAGCTGGAATATTAGATACGTATTATGATAGTATTGGTCATGCAACTACTTCACCTACCCTCCGGGGCATTGGTTAGTGCGGAGAGTGTGGCTACCTTTTTTCATGCTCTTAACCCCTTTGTATTCCTTATCACTTTCTTCAAACTCCAACTTATTACATATAAGGACATTGTACCGTTTTGTTTTCCTCACCCTACTGATGAGAACGGGGGGAGATTTTTGTCAGGTTTGGCTTCCGCCTACGGCACGTGCGAAAAAGGAACTCGAACTATATCTCCGAATAATCCCTCCTTTAATTTTAAATTTTCAAAATGCGTACATTTATAGTATCTCATTCACGAATGCAGTGCGGAAACGAGATCAAGTGGAGTGTACATGACAAGGAAATTTTGGTTCGCGCATGCGCCAGGTGCAGGCACGCGAAGTTCATACATGGTTGTATCTCCCCGACCGGCTCTCTTCTTTCTTCTTCTTTTTCTTCCTTATTTTTCTTCTTCTTGTTCTTCATCTACACCATCTTCTTGTTATTTTTTCTTATTCTCTTTCTTAATCTTTTTTATTCTTAATCATACTCCTCGTTCTTCTTCAAACTTTACACCTCTTGAAGGTAGAATCCACTTTTTGGTTTGTTTAAGCCACCTTCACCGAATAATGAGTTGCAGAGATGAGAACCAACAATTTTTAAGTCCTCATGCAATGTCCGAATAATCCGCTCGCAATGTCCCTCACCCGGGCGTCTCGAGACCCATCTTACAATGCTGTAATTGCTCACCTGTTTGACATCACCTTACCATCAAAGCCGAACTCTAGCATTTTGTCAAGAATTGCAGCTACTCCGGAGCGAGCCCTTGATGGGAATATGATCTAAACACGTGATTCTCGCTATCCAGCATAGCATTTTCATTTCCTTCTATTCAATGCTCGCTTCAATTTCTATAGTCGCCGACCACCACTCCGCATCGTAGGCCGCGACTAGGCCGCTCAGGACGGCGTGGTGCCATGTTCCTGTAGGTCTTTGGTTTGATACCATTTAGTACCTTCATGGGGCAGGGAAATGTAGTATCTAGCTTCTTTTAGACCAAGGTCACTCACACGTGATCAGCTTTTATGGTCAGACTGACTCGGACACGATTGCCAACCTGAAAAATACTCGGGAATAGGTCGACGCGGAACTTCACCACAAAACAAATGAGCGAGGCCTGATGCCTTACTCATTGACTAATTGGTCGTGTTGGCGATAGCTGCAACAATTTTAATATCTGACCGGAGTCCTAAAGTCGCTAGATGGTCGAACAGAGCTTGCACTTGCTGCGCACAACACCTTGTCACTAGCATTAAGTCGTAGGCATAAAACACATAGAGCGCTGTCTACACGCCATCTCCAGAAGCCATCACATAGAGAGCCAGTTTCTGTAGATGTCGTGTAATGGCGTCGATGAAGATAATGACAAGTTGGGGAAGGAGTGCGGAATCCTTTTGTACCCTTGACGAAAATGGAAACTTCCAAAGAAACTTGCTGCTGTTTGCACTCGACTGCAGACAGAATCAGGAAAATTGTGCGCTCTTTCCTCACTCGAAAAGCTCTCTAGGGTTCAATAACATTTTATTAACTCGGTTGAATGAATATCCTTCACTGGGAAGAGAAGTTGCTTTATTCCCCGTTTCTTACGATTTTCATCAGAGGTTGTCAGGCAAAGGCCAGACATCGAAAAACTGGTGACATCATCTCAGATGTTTTCGATATCGTGACTAATAGGTGGATACAAACTTTTTCAGCCACTCCTTTTTCAATACCCGTCAGCGCATGATGCTTGTCGCGATCATGGCCACTCTTTGGACGCGATCCGCATCGGCGGTACTAGAGCCCTCTGCCTCCTAGCCCACCGGACCACCACGCCCTACCTGCGCCCCCGCAAAGGTGGGCGGGCCATCCCCGAGTACCAAGGGGTATCTGGCTGGGGCGCCTCCGCCCTGTCTAGCGACCCCAGAAATGAACTTCGCGAAGGGGATCTTGCCTTTAACACAGGGACCAGCACTGTGAACGCGGCGAAACAACCTACTCGACCCCGTCGCAACTAGCGTGCTCTGCCTCACTTACTTGCAATGCATTGTACGAAAGTAAGGGACACTTTTTTATTAACCTACTATGCACTATACTACATACATATTTATCAACTTTTTAAAGGGGACTGAACAAGACAGATAAATCCTATGGGTTGAGAGCCGAAGTGTATTCCACAGAAAAAGAGAAGGATTATCATGATTAAAGGACACCCAATAATATACCAAAGTAATATAGCGTATATACAAAAGGTAGAAGGCATAAACTCAGAGAACGAGTTACACGACACTCACCTGTCCCTCGATCTGCAGGCGCTTTGGAAGGCAAGCTCCCTCGACTGTTGAATCCAGGCCCCCATTGGCCTAGGCGGTCTTCTTGCCTTCTTTCCTCAGTATCCGGTAGATGACAGTCTTTGCCCTCGGTTAGGGGCAGCTCGGATACTGGCCGGGCTTATGTTGGCGCTCCGTTGCCTTACGGGCAATTTCACAGCGTTGCCTGGCTACACCGATCAGCAGCCGATAGCCAGCCAGTCGCGGTGCAGGACGGGTGACGACTGAATCGGGTATTCGAAGAAGCGCGCACAACTCGCGCATCCGCGATGCGTTGTGGCGGCCGAGCAAAGGTGGGCCGGAGCGAGCGTGGTGCGCCCACACCGTCGCATCCGCGACACTGCTAGCAGGTTAGCTTCATTTGATCTCTTTCTGCTTTGGTGGAGCATTATTAAGCGTACATATTAGTGTTCGATTGTGCGTGGCCACCAACCCATGGGGCACAAACTACGCATGAGAGCTCGATCGCGTTGCCCGACCAGGTCCTTGTTACAGGCGACCTTGACTGTATATCACGCTATTCCTACTCAATC